TGGTTTTCTTCACTTCTGTGAGCTTACCCAATATCTATCCATAAATCTAACCATAAATTTTCTGCTTAAGTTAGCTGAAGGCAATTTCTATTGCTCATAACCAATGAGAAATCAGAGTAGAGGTTAGAGTGGTACCTCTAATGGTTACACAACAACTTTCTTCTCCCTGTCTCCTTTACTGTGGCTTCTGTTGTTTAAGAAATTATAGTAGTTTGCATGAAGCACTAGGTGTGGTGCATAAACAATGAAATCTGGAATACTGAAAAGAAATTAAAAAAAAAAGATTAAAAAAAAAAGAAATTATAGTAGCTAAGGTGACAATGCTTTCACCAGGGTACCCAATAATGGCTTCATTAATTGTGAGGTGAGGCTACGTGGGGCTCTACATGCAGCCAGGTGATAGTTAAAATCGAAGGTATGGGAGCATAGATGAAAACTGGAGGAGGGGCACCTGGGTGGCTCAGTGGATTAGTGCCTCTGCCTTCAGCTCGGGTCATGATCCCAGGGTCCTGGGATCGAGCCCCACATCGGGGCTCTCTGCTCAGCAGGGAGCCTGCTTCCGTTCTTCTCTCTCTGCCTGCCTCTCTGCCTACTTGTGATCTCTGTCTGTCAAATAAATGAATAAAATCTTTAAAAAAAAAAAAAAGAAAACTGGAGGAATCCTGGGGTACCTCTTTGTATTACCACTAGCAGTGAAGTTACCAGTAGAATACTGCTACCCTACACAGGCAAGACCTACAAGGGCTCAAAGCAATCAGGAATAAAAGTATGTCTGACTCCAAAGTCCATACTCTTTAGCATACCACTTTCTATTGATATCAGTCTACCTGCAGCTCCTTAATCAAGAAATGATCCCTCTCACTTCCATGCCTTTGTACCTGTTAGTTTGTCTGGGATGTTCCTATTAACATTCCAGCTGAAAACTTCTCATTATCCTCTTTGAAACTTTCTCCGGTCCCTAGAGATTAGTCCCAAACATCCTGACCTAATACTCCACAATGTCTTAACATGTGTCTTATCAATCTCTTAGCTCTACATGCTTAATGGTTTTTTCCACTAGCCTGTAAAGTTTCTAAATGATAGAAACATCTTTTATGTTTGTATCCTCAACAATGAGTACTCAGTATATGGGAGTAATAAATATCTATTTAAAGAATATCTGGCTTTTTTTTTTTAAGATTTCATGTTATTTATTTGTTGGCAGGGGGTGGGGCACAAACAGGGAGAGTGGCAGGCAGATGGAGAAGCACACTCCCTAATGAGCAAGAAGCTCAATGAGCGACTCAATCTCAGGACCCTATGATCATGACCTGAGCCGAAGGCAGACACTTAACCAACAGAGCTAGCCAGGCATCCCAATATCTGGTCGTTCTTAATTTTCCATAGTATTAACCACTGTATCTGAGATTTGGGGTACTTATATTTAAATTAGCATCTAATGAATACTGTATTCAGTTCCTTAATTATTTGATATGGTGTTCCCCAATCCTTCCTATAAGTCTAAGAACTTCTAAGAGCTGAGTTCCCAGTGTTTACTATTTCTGTACTCTTTAGCACCTTCAGGCATTAGGCACATGGTAAGCACTCAATACATACTTGAAGAACTGAATTTAAAACACAGTATTAGCACATTAATAAGAGCAACTTATCATGCTCCACGATCTAATTAAAAGATCTGGCCTTCTGAAATAGTACAATTGTACTCTATGGAAAATTTAATGAGAAAAAGAAAAATTATGCAATTGTACAGTTAAAAGCTCTTAGTGAGAGTTCCACAAATATTTTACAGATAACAAGAGTCAACCTCTAGAGCTGAGAGTAAAAGACTCAAGCTATATATCCCCATGCATATTGGAAGTAAGATTACAAGTTTAAGGGGTCTGCCACAACCACAACTACTTAAATTCCACTAACCCTTAACAAATTCATAACAGAAGACATAAAAATATTTAATAGCAAATCAATCAATGTCAAATCAACCTATGCTAAAGATGTACAGGGTTATCTCTGCACGATATATAACATGGTAGTCATTTACTCATTCAACAAACATTTATTAAGTCCCTATGAATGACAAGTGTTACATTAGGTCCTATAATCACAAAGACGGGGCACCTGGCTGGCTCAGTCAGTACAGCATGCAACTCTTGATCTCAGGGTTGTAAGTTCAAAACCCACGTTGGGTATAGAGATTACTTAAAAATAAAATCTTTTAAAAAATAATAAATAAATAAAATTACAAAGATGAAAAGAACACAGTTCCCATTATTGGGGGTTGCATCTTTGCTGTCCTGCAATGGTATTTAAGAATACAATGTGGAAAAAAAAAAAAAAAAAGAATACAATGTGATGGATGTGGAGCCTACTTTAAAAAAAAAAATAGAGAGAAAAATAGAATACAACGTGAAACATACTGCCTGGAGTTGCTCAACGTGGAGGCTCTTAGTAGCAGTCTGGTGCAAAAGGTGGATAAACACATACCTTTGGCAATGTGATTAGCCTTAACCCAGAAATAAGTACAAGATGTTATGAGGTCACTGAGAAAAAAATAATAACCTACTGGAGAAATCAGGAAAAGATATGGAAGACAATGACATCCATACATGAGTTCAAAGCAAGCCAAGGTGTGAGAAAGCTACCACGACAGAAACACCTGAGACAGAATCAAACCTGAAACTAGGGTTGCAAGCAGGGTCAGAAGGATTCCAAAGCAAACCAATCCAACTCATAGAAAACCACTGTAGAAGAGCCAAAAAGTAAAATACTCCTTGCTGTTAAGCTTGAGAGTAATAAAACACATATACAAAAGAAATTATGGTATAAGTATAAAGGGAGTCTTTTAAACAACAGATGGCATAAAAGTTCAAAGGGAGCCAATCACTAAGAGTTAGGGCTCTTAGGAAAACCTTCATAAAAGTAGATTTAGAACTATCATTGGTGGGGAAAGGAGCACGGGGAGGGCTGTCTACGTGGTGGGAAAGACCAATGTCATTAACAAAAGCAGAGATCTGAACTACATAGTTGTGGGACCATGAGGAGGTCCAGAGGTTTAGAAGCACTGGGTAAAAACTGGACACACGAATGAAGGCCTGATTTAGCAGAGCCTGGAACACAAGCCTAGCAGCTGTTCTAGACTCAGTAGCTGTCAACCATGACTGCTAAATAGAAACATATGGGGAACTTTAAAAATTATACCTCTGGCTAGGGCTCACCTCATATCAAAAGTAAGAGAATCTCTGAGGGGAGTGGTGAGGACATTAAAATGTAAAAGCATACAAGGTGACTCGACTCTACAGTCCAGAGTCAGAATCACTGGGCTTGGGTATAGAAAAGTAAGGCATGACAGATGTGGTTAAGACCTAAGGTTGATTTCAGTCCCTGTTTATAAGTAACAATTCTGAACTGATTGCCTGTTGAAGGTTATCTTCTAACCTGAGTTAAACATTCTGTTTTCTTAGTGTTTCTTTTCTCTTGTTGACAGTGCTAAGCTCTGAAAATCAGAAAATAACCCATCAATTTCTCTCACATGACAGGTTCATTGACTGCACAGTCTGAAACCCAGAATTTTATTTCCATGATGTCCTACAGACAACTAACTTAGAAAATAAATATTTCAATCCTATGTTGCCCTTATACACCTGCAGTGAAGTGCTTTCATATTAAGGAATGTTCTAGGCTGCATCCATGTTTGGATTTTACAAAATTTCTCTTTTAAATTTAGAAAAAGTGTAATATCTACATATACAAGAGGCGTACTACTTAGGCCAGAGCAAAATGTGAGATATTAAGTATTCATTCTTGTAGTACCTGGAGACATTATACTATTCCTGGTTTCAGATGTGCAATGATTACCAAGTACTTCGCTTATTTTGTAACAAATAACTGTCAGAATACTTCACAAATAAAGGGAAACAAAAGAATGTATCCTATACAACAACTCTGTGCTACATTAAACAACCGTTTGTGGAAGAAAAAAATCACCAAGATGATTTAAGAGTATGACAGCCTGTTGATCCTTCAAAAAGCAGAGTGGTGTGTTTGCTCACTTGTTTTCAAAGAAAAAGCAGAGATACCAATATGCTTCAGGGTGCATGTTACTCACCAAAGTGTCTATTCAAGAAATCTATACTTGGCTTATAGGTCAGGAACTGTGTTCTTTATGCGAAATTAAGTTAGCCACAACTATCTTATTTTCCGTGGTGTTAGGTCACGGTATCTACTTAATGGTAAAATGGTGTGAGAACTTAAGTTGGAAGCCCATAGCACACCCATAGGTTGGTTTATGCAGTCTCTTATTCCCACATAAAGTTAATAAACTCGAAGGACCATATCCCAACGTAACCGTGGGGCGGGGAAAGGGCAGTGAGTAAAGGAAAACCCAAGAGTCAAAATGTAAAACATGAAAAGGGAATATGGAGCCAGATTTCAAGAGTTGGCTATTCGCTTGAACTGATCCTACTAAGAAAGAAAAAGAAAGGCTTCTTAAAAGAAAACGCAAGCCTAACTCTCTGACTATAGGGGTGAGACTTAAAAAGCAAGTCGCAGGAGTCTGACCAGTGGGTCCAAGGAAAATTCAGAGAGCAAAGAAATAAAAGCGGATGAAGGAGACAGGAAAAGGTGAAGGAGGCAGGCAAAGGCCATCCGGTGTGAACCGGGATGCCCGGGTCTTTATGCACCCAGGGCGGCGTGGAGGCTCTCTCGCCCCGCGCGTTCCTGGGGGCCGGGCCGCAGCGCGAGTCCCCCACCGGTCTGGCACCAGGGGGCGCGGGGCGCCAGAGGTCGGGGAGAAGAGGGGCAGGCGCAGCGCCCACGCTCTCACCCCACCCGGCTCCGCACTCAGGGGTCCCCAGGAAGGAGACACACTCTGCGCAGCCCTCGTCTCCGGGACCGGGAGGGGGTGGGTGGAGCAGAGCCCGGAGCCGCCCCCCGGAGCCGCCCCCGCAGCCCTGGCCCCCGCCCCCCGCCCCGGCTGTCAGCGGCCCCCTCCCGCAGTCACTCACCCGCGGGCTGCGCGGTCTCGGCCGCGGCGGCAGCGGCGGCGGCGACCCCCGCCTGGGTCATGATCCCAGGCGGGTATGGCAGGGGTGTCCGACCGCCGGGGCGAATCTCTCCGTCCGCGGCCGCCGCCTGCTCCTCTGGGGCTGGGGGAGCGCGGGCCCAGGCCCTCCTCTCCCCCCGCCCCCGCCGCCTCTTCTTGCGGCCACCGCCGCCGCTGCGAGCCCAAGCCCTCAAGGCCGGAGACCCGGCGGCAGCGCGGCCTCAACTTTCCCAGCCCCCCTCCCCCCGCCCCTCCCCGCCCCTCCCCGCCCCCCCCCGCCCCTCCCGCGGCCGCCGCTCGGCAGGCGAACAGCCTACCCTGAGTGCGCCGCGCCCCCGCCTCTGCCACTCAGCCCACCAACCCGGCCCCGGGGAGGCTGCCGAGGTAGCCAATCAGAGCCGGGACGCCGGTGCGCTAGGCTGGAGGGCGGGAGGAGACGGAGGGAAAACCGAGGAGTGAACGGGCCTCGGGCGGCCCAATGAGGAGGGCCGGGGGGCGGAGGTGTGCAAGTTGGGTTGAAGGAACAGGAAATATTCTTAAAGGTAGAGTGATGGGCAGCAAGGAAAGCCAGTAGGTGACTGAGAGAGAGGTGGGCCTGGTTCATTAAAGGGGACGCCGTGAGAACCTAGAAGAGGAGGTGGTTTAAAAAACTACTTTGTATCTTGTTCTCTGTGCTGCTTGTCACCTCTTCCAAGTTTGGAAGTGGAAAAACTGAAAAGGAAGAGGTCATGGAAAGCTTTCAGGAACGATTAGAGAACTCCTCATAGCTTAGAGGGTAGGAAGGAGAATGATGCCTCCGTCACAAGAAGTGGGCAAGAAAAGAGAATCCAGACGTCTCCTACTGACTGCTCTTTTCCCTGGAAGATCGTTGCCGACCTGACGGTGCTTGAATTTGTGGGATGTGGTAATCTGTCATCCTGCATTGGCAACAAAGCACAGATTCCTTTGAACTGGAGATGACGCGTGTTCAGAAATGCCCTGGGAGCCTCCCAATTGGAGGGAAACAGTATGGGGCATTGGGGGATGGGGTTTGGAACCTCAGTCTTGCGTTCCTAGAGACCTGCATCTGAAAGGTGTAGAGCAGCGGGTAATGAATGGAGACCTGAAGGTCCCCTAACTCCCAAATGGGATTGGAGCTCTGGAAACGTGGTCATAACTCCCTTTTCCTCGTTTCGCTTCCTGTTTCATAACTCTTCCCCTCCTGAAACAGGTGTCCTCCACTTAGTGGTAGTGAAAGATTTCCAAGCGCTTCCACAACCGGGTTTGGAAATGTCTCAGGTATTAGACTTCCAGGGGCCAGACCAGGTAACTTTCAGAAGGTGCACACAGGGCATGGCACAATGGGAATTACTTGAGCCTGTGTACAGAAGATGCTGACCTTGTATTGGGAAAAGTGCAAAGTTAAACTAACTGCATCTTAATATTTGTACAGCAGTTTAAAGGGTATGATAAACCAGAAAGCCTTTAAAATTGCTTCTAAACTGTGGAACTTTTACACTTTTTTCCTTTAACATTTTCATCCATCTTGGCTTATGTAGTTCTAATTAGCCTCTGAATTGACTTAGCACAACCAAATCAAAGCTGCAGATTAGAAAGACCCTACAATTCAGAACGTAATAGTAATGCTAATAGCACCTACATGAAATTATATAGAATTAATGTCTTTTTAAAAAAACTTGGGGCGCCTGGGTGGCTCAGTGGGTTAAAGCCTCTGCCTTCGGTTCAGGTCATGATCCCCGGGTCCTGGGATCGAGCCCCGCATCGGGCTCTCTGCTCGGCAGGAAGCCTGCTTGCTCCTCTCTCTCTGCCTGCCTCTCTGCCTACTTGGGATCTCTGTCTGTCAAATAAATAAATAAAATCTTAAAAAAAAAAAAAAAAAGCAAAAATAAAACTTAAGGGGCACCTGGGTGGCTCAGTGGGTTAAGCCTCTACCTTTGGCTCAGGTCATGATCTCAGGGTCCTGTGATCAAACCCCCCCCCCCGCCCCAAAATCGGGCTCTCTGCTCAGCCTCTCTGCCTACTTGTGATTTCTCTCTCTGTGTGTCAAATAAATAAATAAAATCTTAAAAAAATAAAATAAAAATTTTTAAAAATCTTTGAAAAAAGCTATTCTGCTTAATAAATATCATATCTGGGGTGTGTATGATTTTCTAAACAACTACAGTTTATCGAGTCTAAAATAAAATAACACAGTTTTGACAGTTCAAGAAAACAGAATTTAAGAGTTTCTTTGGACCACTGTTAAAAATAACACATTAACACCTTTCTAACACAACTTAGTGTTAAATAAGAGGAATTTCTGCTGGATAAGATGTTAGCTTTTTATTTTATCCGCATTCCTAACTGAAGCTGAAATCCTCATCATAGATCTTCCTACCGGCTTTGTGCATTCAGCATTGGTTTACTGCACTAGATATAAGAGGATGACATCAAGTAATCACACCAGTCCAATTTTCCGGCTAGCAGGCATGCGTTTGCAGTGCATAGAGTGGTGATAAAATACGGTGGCCAAGTGAAACTGGTCTCCGTGCCTCCAGGCCAAGTCCATTTTTCACACAGTCCAGGTGAATCTGGTTTTCACTCACATACTTAAGACCCTTCAGTGGCTCTGAAAGAGAGCGTGAGGTAGAAGCCCCTTGCTTGCATCTTCTATTTCATTTCCTAACAACTCTTTTTCTCTATTGCTGGGGATGTTCGTCTAGGAAAAGGGCACTGACAGCACAGGGGGGGACCGTGTTCCGGGGGGTTGCGGCTCCGCAGGGCTGCTCTCAGCTCCGCTCCATCCACCCGCTTCGTGTCCTCAGAAGCAGGGGCTGAGCAATGTGCCTCCTTCGTGGGAATCGGAGTGCGGGGTCTGGTGGGGCCCCGTGGGGCCCTAACGCCAGCTGAGCGCTGTCCTCCTCTCCGCGACCTCTGGGCGCCGCGCCTCCTACCACCAGGTTCGTGGGGTCGCTCTCGGAGCCCCAAACACTGATCTGCACGCCGGCATTTTCTTCTCAGGTTTCAGAAATAAATGGCAGAGAGGCAAGTGAATAGTCATCTCTTGAAATCTACTTCCGTATTTCCTGTGGAAACTGCCCAATTGTATTCCAGAGTGATTGCAAGATTTCGCATTTTCAACAGCTCTGTCAGAGAGTCCACATCATCACCAACCCTGGATGTTGTCAGTCTTTTTTTTTTTTTTTTATTTTATTTTATTTATTTATTTGACAGAGAGACACAGCGAAAGAGGTAACACAAGCGAGGGCGGGGGCGGGGCGGGGGAGAAGTGAAAGAAGGAGAAGCAGGCTTCCTTGCTGAGCAAGGAGCCCTATGTGGGGCTTGATCCCAGGACTCGGGGATCATGACCTGAACTGAAGGCAGACGCTGAACGACTGAGCCACCTAGGAGCCCCTATTGTCAGTCTTTTAAATTCTAGCCATTATAGTGGGAATGACATGGTTCCTCGTGATTTTAATTTGCCTTTCCCTAATTATTAGTGATGTTAAAAATATTTTTGCCTGTTTATTGATCAGTTGCATCTTTGGTAAAGTGTTCCAAAAAATTTTTTTAAGATTTTATTTATTGGGGCGCCTGGGTGGCTCAGTGGGTTAAGCCTCTGCCTTCACTTCGGGTCATGATCTCAGGGTCCTGGGATGGAGCCCCGCATCTGGCTCTCTGCTCAGCAGGGAGCCTGCTTCCCCTCCCCCTCCGCCTTCTGCCTGCCTCTGCCTACTCATAATCTCTGTATCTCTGTCTGTCAAATAAATAAAATCTTTTTTTTTTTTTAGATTTTTATTTATCTATTTATTTTTAAAAGGGTTTGGAAAGGGTGCAAGTAAGGGGAGGGGCTGAGGGAGAGGGAGAAGCAGACTCCCTGCTGAGCAAGGAGCCCAGTGCAGGGCTGCATCTCAGGACCCTGAGATCATGAACTGAGCGCAAGGTAGTTGCTTAACCAACTGAGCCACCCAGGCGCCCCAAGTGTTCAAATCTTTAGCCCACTTTTAAATCAGGATGCTTGTCTTACTGAGTTGTGAAAGTTTTTTGTACATTTGTATGAAAATCCTTTCTCTGATATGTGTTGTGCAAAATACCTTCAACCATCTGTGACTTTACAAAGTAAAAACAAAATAGCTTTACTGAGGTATGACTGACCAACAACAAATGGAGCATACTCAAAATGTTCAAGGTGGGTTCCCTGTTTGGCTCAGTTGGTAGAACATGGAACTCTTGATCTGGGATCCTGCGTTCAAGCCCTGTGTTGGGTGTAGAGCTTGCAATAAAAATAAATACACAAATACATAAATAAAATGTACAACAATTGTAAGTTTTGACATATGTACACACCTTTGAAACTGTCTCCACAATCAAAAATAATGTCCTGGGGGTGCCTGGATGGCTCACTGGGTTAAGCCGCTGCCTTTAGCTCAGGTCATGATCTCAGGGTCCTGGAATCGAGCCCCGCATCTGGCTCTCTCCTCAGCAGGGAGCCTGCTTCCTTTCCTCTCTCTCTCTGCCTGCCTCTCTGCCTACTTGTGATCTCTGTCAAATAAATAAATAAATAAAATCTTTAAAAAAAAATAATGTCCTCAAATTTCCTCGTGCTCCATATTATTCCTACCTCTTGCTCTCATCCTGCTCTTCAGGCAACAATTAAACTGCTTTTTGTTGCTATAATTTGTTTACATTTTCTAGAATTTTATGTAAATGGAATCATTCATTGTATACTCTTTTGTCTATCTTCTTTCATTCAGCATATCATTTTTTGAGATTCATCCACTTTGTTATGTGTATCAATAATTTACTAGGTTTTGTTGCTAAGTAGTATTCAGTTGTATGGATATGTTATCTATATTCAGGTTGGGGAAGAGTTAGACTGTTTGCAATTTTTGACTATTACTAATAAAGATGCTAGAACATTTGTGCACAGATCTTTTTAGGGATATTTGCTTTCATTTTCCTTAGTTAATACTTGGGTAAGTATCCCATGGAATGGCTGAGGCATATAGTAAGTGTAT